CCCGCACACCAGCCCCCGGTAAATGAGAGGAGACAGGTCCTCTCTGCTTTTTTTTTTTTTCTTTTTCTTCCCTCCCCGGACCGCAAAGGCGAGATTCAAAGTGGCATCTCGGTGCCTTTCCCTGCAATTTTCTCTACACTTTTTTTCCTGTTGTTGTTGTTTTTGTAATCTCCAGTAGCGATCTCTGGGGCTGAGGTTTCCGCAGAAAGTTTGGGGGCTGTTACGGTGTGTATTTTTGCGGAGGGGGAGGGGGGCGGGCTCCTTCTGTGTGTGCTGCTCCTCTGGGTGCCTATTGGAGAATAATAGTGTAAGTGACAACCTAGAAGTAGACTTTCTGCTCTTCACACTGGATAGAAAAGCTGCCTTTTTTTTTCTTTTTCCTTTACCTTTTTTTTTTTTTTTTTAATACCCCCCTTTCTCACTTGCTCCTGTACGCATTGGTTTGATTTTTGAAAGGATAGCTAGACTTAAGTCACCTTCCACCTCAATTTTAACCTGCTACTTTATCTTTTTTGATGATGATGATGAATTCCTCGTTTTGAGCGTTACACTTGTCTGAGCAATTTGATCTTCAGCTCCTTCCTCCGTTGCTAAACCTCGAAAACTGGCTCTCTCGTAAAAGATATTTAATCTCTGTTTTTTGTCCATTGCCATTTTTGCTCATGGCTACTCTGTTTCTCGCTATCTCTTTTTGCCCCTCCCCGCCTAGAGGAAAATAGCAACAAGGAAAAAAAGAAAAAATAAGAGAATATTAGGGGAAGTAGTCCTCAGGTCTGCTGCCCCCCCTCTCCCCCCTCCCCAAAGGGGGGGGGGACCTAGAAAACATCAGTCTTGAACTTCTTCCTCTTCAAGAGCTCGGGCTGCAAAGGAAACCTCCTTTGTTTTTGTTGTTTATATGCTGTCAAGTTTTGAAGTGGTGAGTTTCGGGTCGGTTTTGCTAATTTCACTCAGAAAACTGCAGTGTTTCTGTTTCTAGATAAGTACTTTGCTTCTTTGTCTCTTTAAAAGGTCACAGGGAAAGCTTGGCCTGGATTGTGAGAGCCATATGGAACGGATAAGTGCGGAGCCTCTCTCAGATGTGATTATGGGGTTTTATGGGGGAGGGAGGGAAGAGGAGGGGAAAGGCATGGGGAGGGGGCTGATTCAGGAGGAGAGAAAGAAATAATATAATACCGGCGGCGTTACATCGCGACAAAAGGAGATACCGCACCGACTCTCATTCAGAAATTGCGCGGTGTGCCCGTACGTGTACGCTGTCTCTGGGAAACTGTGCTTTGAAATTGTGCTCTTCTCTCATTGCCTTGTGATGAAAACTTGTAGTTATGAAAGATGCCTAAATGCAAAACCCAGGGAAACTCGGCCTGGAACTGGCGGAGATGATAGTTCTTTCCCTGCAACCCTCTCCCTGGGCAGGCCACGCTGGTTGTTGCTCATCACTATTCCAAACTGAGGTTTCAGTGAACTTTAGCCTTGGGCATGGAGTTTAAATGAGTAAATTAGGTGTTTTATGTGCATGTAATTTTGCTTTGTAACATAAAGCTTTTTACAAGATGACTAAGCGGGGAAAGGATGCCGATGGGTGGGTATTCTCAGGCCAAGTGAAAATGACCCATTTGGTGTTTTGATTTTAGTCAGTGTATTAACTAAACAGTGATCTATCACTTTTATTCACTGTACATGATGTAGTGCAATTCTGACTCATGATGACTAGATACTTTTTGTAGCAAAGAACCTTGGTGCCTTAGAGTACTTATGAAGTTGCCAAAAGTGACAAGGATTTTCTTGTTCAAGGCTTTTTTTGGTTTGGCCCCCCCCCCCCCCCCCCCCCCCCCCTTTTTTTTTTCTTGTTAATCCTCTTGTTCTTTCGAGAGACCAGTATCAGAAAAGCAGCCCTATAATATGTTAGCATCGGCAGAAACATCGGAAGATGTTAACGGTTTGAGCCTGTAATTCTTTGCTTAGGCTGCAGTTAACAGAGTAAAAAAGAGAGGAAAAAAAAAATCTTTTTGAAAAGAGGCTAAAATAGGCACATTTTTTGATAATGAGGCACAGGACCTAAAGCAGATGGGATCAGGATGAATGGTAAACCTTAGCCTGTCACCTTATAGCATAAGGCAAAATAACAATTTTCTGAACTTAAGCTATTCAGTGGCATTCATGAGGTTGCTTGTAAATGGTCAGATTCACATATTAGCTCTTTCTTCACCTTATCGGGAAAAGCAGCATGATATTCAAAGAAGAAAAAAGTAGTTTACAGAATTGTTACTGGCATGTATATCAGTGGCATAGAAGTGTGTACAAAAATTCCAAGATGTTTAGGCTTTAATAGCTTTGCTATGAAATGTGCAGAAAATATATTGAATTACTAGGCAACTGAAAGAAAGTAGCAATTATCAGATTCACACCAGGCTTTCTAAATAAGACTTCCCCAGTATTAGTATTTGTACTTGCTAATGTAAATACTAGTTCATAAATTAATGTCTAGTCACCTGTCCTTAGTGATTATATTATATACATAACATAATTGTCAGTGTAGTCACACCTTTCTCAGTCAGGGAAAGGTAGGGTAAAATACCTAACAGTCACAACGATATTGATGAATGAAACCAGAACCAGAAAGATGTCTCTGTTCTCAGCTACTGATTTTTGATTTATTTATATATATAAATATATTTGGTAAAACGGATTCTGATGAGTGTCAAAAATTCTCAAAACTTGCTCTGTTATGTTCTAGGCTTGGGAGACTTTTAGTGATTTAACTGTAATTGTTACTCATGGACGGAGGTTTCCAAAGTTTATAAAAAGGGAAATAAAAGCATGCTAGCATATACCTTTTCTTAATTTGATATTGAAATTGCTTCTGTTTTTTAGTTTCAAATAGTTGTGCCAGCATGTAACATAGCATCACCCAGGGATTTTTTATTTTTTATTTAAGGACTTCAAAAGTACTGTAGGAATTGTGTTTGGGTTGTTTGGGTGTTGTTTTTTTTTTCCCACCAGCATCATGTTTTGTGAGATGCTACCTTCTCAGTTATTTTTCTTAATTCAATAAGCTACTTCATTTGACACTTAAAACTTAACATCTGAGAATGATTCTATGATTTCATATGCATATTTTGAACTTTGCAGAAGTTGATAAACTCTGTGTGTAATATTGGTTAGGAAACTCAAAAGCAGCCATCTCCCGCCACTGCTTTCCAGAGTTAAGTGTTAAATTCTCTTACTTTTAAGGGGGGAGGAATTGTAAATGAACAATATTCTACATCTTTAATAAATCTGTTGCTCCCTCAATTAAAGTTTTAACAATCTCTCTATTGTTGTGCATCCATATTTTTAATCAAGTAGATTGAGAAATGTTTCACTAGAATCCTTTTCTTTCTCTGTCTCTGTCTCTCTCAACACAATAAAAACACCCAGGATTAATAACAAACCTTTCTGTGAGATGTGTTAACAATAGCTGTGTTGGAGCATGTACCTTGACAATCATCATTTATATGAGTTTCAGTCTGTCTCAGATTTGGTAGTATATTTCCGAAGATACATTTTTTTAAAGGGATACTCTAGTTGGCATTTAAAAATAATTCCACCAGATTATGATGCGATTTCTCTGTAAACTGGGGTATGAGGTCATTTTTGGAGAGTAAGTTTGGTTCTTTTAAAAAAAGGCATCTTCTTTCCAGTTAAAATAGTTATTTATTCTTCTGTATGAGTTTATGGTACATCTCTTTCTCTCTCTGTACATGTGCAGGCTGTGTACATATACATATGCGCACACGTGTACAACATATATATATATATTGTATATTTTTTTTTTTTTTTTTTTTTGAATCATGGCAGGTGATCTTTAGAGGCGGGACTGAGTATGGATCATTTGAACGAGGCAACTCAGGGGAAAGAACATTCAGAAATGTCTAACAATGTAAGCGATCCGAAGGGTCCACCAGCCAAAATTGCGCGCTTGGAACAGAATGGGAGTCCATTAGGAAGAGGAAGACTTGGAAGTACAGGAACTAAAATGCAAGGAGTGCCTTTAAAACACTCTGGACACCTGATGAAAACTAATATTAGAAAAGGTAACATTTTTGATAATTCTGCATTAGAGAAATATGATTTATAATATCTTTTTGGGGGAAAGCATACTTTTGCAGACTCTACTTCATTTATATTTCAGGATTAAATCTCCATTCTAAAATACTATATATTCCCAACTCTGATATAAATCACATTTGGGAAATGTAAGCTTCATGCTTGGGTGGAGCATCTTGCTTTACAGGGTGGAGTCTGATATTTGTTAAGGTAAAGGCTAGCTGCCCTTATTAAAGCAAATTCCTACATTGAAATAGAAGTAATATAATGCATTAATTCTTCGAGTAAGTGTTGGGCTAAGAAACGCAAAAATATCTAAGAGTAAATACCAACCCCCCAAAACAAATTCTTGCCTTTCCTCTTAATGATGGTCCAAGCTTGGAAGGGCAGCACTATTTCCATAGCAGTTGCAAGTTGGTTTAAAGGAGAGAGTGTAAATCTTTAGGTATCACATTGGAAAAGTCATTTATGATGTCAATCTTTGCAGTTTATTTTCTTAAGTACAATTCATTATTGAACAATGAACAACTTGGGTGTCATATTTTTCAGTGGCTGGTTTGCTGTAATTAGACATTTACACAAGGAAAAGGCACATTTAGAATCATTGATATTTGTATATGGGTGGCTTTTGTTTGCACTGAAAATACTTTTAATGGACAATAATCTATAAATTTTGCTTATCGAAATGCGTAAGCCTTTTTGACCATGTCCTGCAGGCTTGCTAATTTAAATCAAAATACGCTGCATGTAATTTGGCATTTGTTTTAAAACAGCCTCTACTTTTCTTGGTATAATCGGTTATGTTTATAATCCAGATTCTTCTTGCATTTGCGAAGCAAAGTGCAAAATGCGACCAAGACTATTAAATGCACAAAGTTAGAAGGCAGAGGAATTTCATTGTGTCTGATGCATAACATTTATCGTACAATCATTTATTTTTTCCTCGGTTTGGCGAAAACAAAGAATATATTGATCCTGAAATGAACAGACACAGCAGTCCGTATTGTTAGATCTTTATCTATTAAAAATGGAAAAACAGCACTTCAGCAAATTCTTTGGCCTCTGCTCATGATTACCCTATTTATTGATTGTTTGCCAAGAATGTATGCATCTTAAGAAAGCCAGGGTAAGAGCATTAAAAATATAATTTATTACGGCTTTTCAAGCAGAGTGCATTAACATTGTACAGTGAAGCAGTGGGGATATATAAAAAGGACTTTCTGACGCCTGCAAACATATAAGTTCCATAAATTCCTAAATAGGAGATTTCAGCTGTCTCTGGTATTATGTGATATTTGCACAGCAAACTTTAATGCCAGGACAGTTTTAGACAAGGATTCTACAGACTTCACTGCTCCTTATGGCAGACGTGCTGTTTACACAGACTCGTAAACCTTCAGCAAAAGCTCTAACACTGCCTTCAGGTTTAAATCATGCGGTATTTTTAGCAGCGAGCAGTGACCAATACTCTCCCCTTTAATACTAGAAGGTTATGAAGTTGCTGCACTTGGAGGTCTTGCCAAGTACTAGCGGGAGTGATCAGCCAGCTGAGATTGTGCTCTCCTGTATAACATTTTTCACATTAACAGAAGGACACTAGTGACAGTTTGCTAAAAGATTTAGTGGCTTGATTTGTAGTCAGATGATACCTGTGCAGCACTACCAGGATCCACCTCTGATAATCTACGCTTTACATCGAAATGTGGCCAGGAGGTCCTCCCGTGTTCTTTAAAGTACCATGTTTTCCAGAATGCTGCAACTCGAGACTCTGTACCTGGCAAAAAGTGTGTTGATATGCAGCTAAGTACCAGTGCATTGCTAGTTTTGTGTCTGATCACAGCTTAATTTGTAGGAACTGATAAGGGGAAAAACAAATAGGCTTTGGCTGGTTGTGAGTATGTCTGCACTGTTTGTTAAAATGAAGCTTTGTTTACATTTTATCTTCAGGTATTAATGGTGAAACTACTTAAGAATTTTGAGCCCTTACTCTGAGTCAGGCGGTAGTAGGTCAAACATCAATTGTGAGAGCCTGGAAGGGGGGAAAAAACCTCCTTTTTGCAGATGAAGCTGTGTGTGTTTTAGAAAGCTCTCCACAGCTTAATTAAAACCAACGAAGAAATCGCCAATTTGCATGTACTGCTCTTGCTTTGGTCTTCTCTCTTAGATTTAAAAAAAAACAAACAAACCCAAAAAAAGCCCAAAGACCAAAAAAAAAAAAAAAAAATCCAAAACAAAAAACCCCCCGAAAAAGGTCCTTCCTGCACTACATAAATATTGGCAAGCTTTTAGTCTTGTCTTTCATGCTGAGCCTATTGGGCAAACTGGAGTGAGTTTGTGAGCTTTTCCAAGCAAGCCTGAAGGGATTTGTTTGCCAGAGATTGACTCTCTGGTGAACAGATGTAGTTTAAATATACGTGCTTAAGAGATATCTTTCTTTATTGTGATTTCTTGCTATACATTAGAGCACAAATCAACAGATGCGGTCTTAAAACGTTTGTCTATTGTCAAGAATAAATCTTTTTGTACTGCGGCATGCCTGATGCACCTTAGCAGGTTAGGAGGTTTCCGTAAGTCTGGAGGGCAGTGGTTGTAGAGGCATTAACATTGTAGGACTAATTGGAGTTCCTGGGTGCCCTGTTAAAATAACCCTTGTCATCATTTATGCTAAAGATGATACCCCTCTGGCAGGCTGCCATAAGACAGTTCTGTACATCTGCTTTTAACCCTTTTGCTTTCTGTCATTAAGAGATCTTAACCTGTGCTGCTGGAAACAGTGGGACAGGACTGGGGCCTGAAACTGCGGGTCTGAGGTCATAGTGTCATCCATGTCCGTCTGGGAGGCCGGGAGGGATTTTCATGGAGTCTAGCTATCTGAATACTAAGAGGGACTTTGTTTCTAAACCAGCTTGGATCATTTGTTACTTCTCTGTCTGTTGTCAAAAGGGAGGGGGAGAAAAAAAAAAAAGTAAAAAAGGCAAAAGGAAAAGGTTATTTGCCTAATATTCTGTGCAGGGTAGGGAAGGGTTTGTTGTATGATGTTACAAAACTGGAAATTAGTAATTGCTTTAAGGCTTACCAAAATAGCAGTGAATACCAGAAATGTGGAATGTAAAGGGCAGGAGGCAACAACAACAGCAAAAAAAACCCAAAACCCAAACCAAATCCTGAACTGCGGGTGCACGTCTTAAAACAGCATTGAAATCTTGATTTGTTTCTTAAAGATGTGAGGGAAAGTACTGCTCAAGTGCACTCAGTGAATGAAGCACGAATTAGTGTTAACTTTTGCCTTGTTTCCTTGTGTGCTGTTTTCAGAGTGAATGTATAACACACAAGGTGATTTGTTGTTGATGTTGAAAGCAATTAAATATTTTTGGCAGGACTAAGAAAGTTTTAATGTTAACGAACAAAATTATGTAGCTGGTACTAAAATGGCTTACAGTGAAGACATCTGCAGTATGTATTTAGGTTCTTATGCTGCCTGCTACTCACAACAAATCAGGCAGGACAGGGAGAATCAACTTCTCTTCAGTCAACCTTGTTATTTCTGTAGAAGGTAATTCTTTAAATCTGTAACCGATCAAGCGAGATAAATTTGCATTTCTGCTTTTCAGAGAGATGTAGGTTTTGTAGAACTTTCTCTTATTTTGGGGAGGGTGAGGGGAAAAGACTCGGGGAATATGTTTATCAAATATTTGTGATGATTCTTGATGCCTCCTCTGCCTGTTCGTACAGGTTTTATTTACATAACGCTGGATAGACCCACCTATTCTGCTATAACTCAAGATTAATATGTTAAATGTATATTTTTTTTTAATAGGAAGTATGCTTCCAGTTTTCTGTGTAGTAGAACATTATGAAAATGCCATTGAGTACGATTCTAAGGAGGAGCATGCAGAATTTGTGTTGGTGAGGAAGGATATGCTTTTCAACCAACTGATTGAAATGGCATTGCTATCACTTGGATATTCTCACAGCTCTGCTGCCCAAGCAAAAGGTAAAGAAGATTACAAAATTGTACGATGAATTGTGTTTGTTTGGGGGTCTTGGGGGAGGGGCAGGATTTCTTTCAGGAATGCGATGCAGGTTTTACTTCTTAAACTTCTTACAGATTCTGTCTCTGTGTATCTTTTTTTCATTCACATATTTTTGTTTAGTTACTGCACGTTTTGTTCATGGGGAATGTGGAGGTAAATTCTTTTTTTTTTTCCTTTTTTTTTTTTGTTTAAAGAAAAAAAAAAGACTTCAACTGAATCATTAGTATGCTTATTGACCTTAATAATCTGCTCCACTGAGGATCCACAAGGAAGTGTAAAGCATATTTGAGCAGATGGACTGTTGAGAGTCAACTTGCATTTATGACTGAATATCCAGCTCTGTTTCTTTTATTTTGTTCCTGATGGTTTTATAGACTGCAAAGTACTTTTTTTTTTTTTTT